GGCCATAACCCACACACACTAATCGCTACCATTAACGGCATAATCCACAAACATCTCCCAAATCGCATACACAGAACACTACCGCTCACACACCCCCACCCCCTCTGGCACACAATAATCACTGCCACCGATGGCCAAACACTACACGCGTTAAGCCTATGGCGACTGCGCGTATGGTTTGACTGTTTAAAACCCATTGCAAACTCGTGTGTAAAACAAATACAAAAAGTATTTGTATTTAACTGTTATTGACATCCGATTTGATCCACAGATGATAATCGGTTGACCGCGAGAACTATCGCCACCGGATCTACTCATCGACACCACACACTCCAAGACATCACTCACATCCCATACCCACCGATAGATAACTCAAGACATGTCCGCGAATCAGGCGGTGATGCGAAGGGGCGGCGATAACGCCGTACGAGAGGTACGGACACGTGCTTACCATCGATGACCACCACATGATAATCACGTGAATCTCTTGTGTATTATAGGATCCAAACGCTGGACAAGCGGTTGAACCGCAAGCGGATCCACAGCCGCCACAACCGCAAGGTTTGCCTTATGATCGCCCGATTCAGTTGATCCCTACCGCCGATGACTAGTGTTTTAGTGGTTATACGTATCGATACCTCGAGTGTTATCTCTGTATACCTCGGCGGTCGAGTACATGGCTTAGCCCACAGACCTATTGATCACTTAAACTGATCCCACGCCTGATATATGCAGTGTTTCTCACCATTCAGTTCATACCTCTTGTGTCTAAAGCTCTGTAATATCTGTTAATCTATACCTCAGAGGGTTAGCCCCGAACCCCTTCCCGTCTATCAACTGATCCACACCTAAGCCATTGATATATCAATCCATAAACTCATGTCTAATGTCTGTGTATTATCTCTCTCTCTATCCATGTCTGTGGTGGCGCTGATGATCACATCACCCGCGATCGGATCCCATAGGCTCCAGATTCTGGTCAGTAGCGCAGGGATTGATATTCCGGGCGCTCATCATATACTTCATCACATCGTTCTTTCGCAAGTCATCGACACCGGCGACGGGCGGCGCCGGTAGTGGAGGTCTGGCCAACACTAAGCCCGCCATCTCCTCATCCAATCTCTTCACCAACGGAACAGTTATGGTATGCCTTAAGACACGCACTCCTGTGTCGGCTCTCTCTCTCCCCCTCCTCTCTCTCTCTCTCGTCCCATGCATTCATAATGTATTTCTATAGACTTATAGTGAATGATAAGAATATTCTGTACACTATATGCCGACTATTGGTATACAAAACGTGTTTAATTGCTATCGAGACGTGTATTTCAATTGTTTAGACATAATGTACACCTGTTTATAATCAATAGTAGGCCTCACTATATATACGGTATATATAGTGTACACCTGTTGTGCAATTGCAATGACTTTTGGTATTTAGATTCAATTGTGTTGTTACTCATAATCCCTATCGAGATATAAAACATACCAAAAGTTTATGTATTTATTTGATAACACTTTTTGTTTCGTGTTTTCAATTGTTTAGCATTTCATTGATAATTGAATGGAAAATCTAATGAAAAAAACTTTTTTTTGTTTTGTGTATCCATTGATACCATAGGATCTGTTTCTCTACATATGTGATGACGAACTCAAACCAGATTTCGATGACAAACAGCAGTTGGTTTGGCACGAGTCGGGTCTGGTGTACGGCGACTGGACGTCCGGCCCCACGGGGGACGGCATATACACGAAGGACGTGTCCGTTGGTCTATCGCCGGTACAGTATCTCTCGCTCTGACCTACTTTTATGCACTCATTCTCTTCCAAACTCTCACTTTCATTCTCTCTCTAATGCTCTCTCACTTTCCCTTTCACATTAATGCTCTCTCGCTTTCACTCACTTTCCTATTCTCTCTAATGCTCTCTCGCTTTCACTCACTTTCTCTCCTTAATTGTCTCTCTCGTTCACTCACTCTCTCATTCTCTCCCTAACTGTCCAACACTTTCACTCTCTCTCTCTCTCTTTCTCTCTCTCTCTCACACACACACACATTCACTCACTCACTCATTCTCTCTCAATCCCCCAAAACCAATGGGACAGTCGGTACAAAACAACGGCACCCTATGGCTGCACATATACGTAACGAAAGCGGGTCGCGGCGGGCGCACGGCCTACCCGAGCGC